ATCTCTAATGGGACTACATTGAGTTCAACTTTCTGCCACAAGTATTGTGCGTTATGATCAATTTTCTAATAAAAATCACAAGGATATAGCCGCTTACAACTACTTTTCTAGGCAACTGCTGTTTTAGGGTTAATGGCTGGTTTTTCATTTCCAATTTCATACCTTGCTCTTTTCCTTACCTTGTTTTTTGCCCCTCCCAGATCCTGCGCCGAAGTCATTTCTTCTAATTAATAAAACGCAATTTATTGCGCTGCCAAATGCCAAACGGAAATGAGCAACGTTTGCGAGGGACGGGGCTTGAATGCTGTTATAATTAAAAAGCCCCAGAAATTTAATACATTTATAACGAGCGTAATTAGGGGAGGAGCAGCCTTAGCAGCCTTAGCAGTAGAAGTGGAGGCAATCGGTGCCGTGAAGTAATGAATGTGGCTTTAAAATGGCGTCACACCCATTCAAAATTGTTTCCGTTTCTTTTTGTTTTCAAAATGCTTGGCTGCCATAAAGGCAGGAGAAATGGGTGTGAGTGGGAGGGAGACGGGGCTTAGCGGTCGGAGGTTGTAAGTGAGCTGCGCACGCGATGCAGTTGCCGATAGCTACATACAGCTGTCCTTTTCCCACGCGCTGCAACCCCATCCGCTTTGCCAAGTATCCGTTAGTTAGTTTTGCCATCGTATTTATTACATTTCAATATTTTCGGCATGCTTCCTATGCCCGTACTCAACCGGATTTTTGGCTCATGTCGTTCCGCAAACTTTTAAAGGCGACTGTAGAGAAACAGAATCGAATATCGATTAAATACATCTTTTATGTTCGAGTTTATTTATTTATTTATTTATCGAGTTTTAAGATAATATGCTACGAGGATTGCTGGAAATATAAAGTTACAGTGCGTATGCTTTATTTATCAAATTTCTTTATCAAGTATACGTAGTTTTGTTTCAGTCCAAGGCAAGGTGTATAAAAAATATATTGCCGGAAACAAAAATTATCGTTTTGCCACAAGGATTGCTCATATTAAATTCTTTTAATGAAGAGGTGTCTAGAAAATATTATTGGGTTACAGTGCGTATGCTTTATCTATTGTTCTTCTTATATCAAGTATACGTAGTTTTCTCTCAGTGCAAGCCCTGCAAAGTGGGCGAGTGTGGAGGCATTTCCCAAGTCCTGCAACCGGCGCCGTCAAGTATGCAACGCCGTGCCGTGCGAAGTTATAATTAAATGAAATCCAGCGCGGAATTTAAATTCTGAATTTCGGCTCATGTCGGCTGTTGCTGTTGGTTTTGTTCTTTCTGCTTTTGTTTCGCTTCATTCGGCTCCTACGGCACTGAAAATTTGGGCCTTTGATTGGATAAAAACTGGGCGTGGTCGGGCACAGCTCGTTCCCCAGGGGTAATCTTTCCCCTGCCGCTTCTGTCGCGGTCGTCGTTACGTGTCTAAGTTGCTTGGGCTTTAAAGGGGTCGAGGGCTTTCGTCTCGAGAAACAGACGAGCCGAAATTTAAAGTATTTTGCTGAAACAGTTTTCACCCCTTCGCTAAGTTGGCCCCAAATTGGCCGCAACCAAAACAGAATTGCCTCGCTAAGCGCAGATTGAGTTGCACGTATGTACATGTATGTAAAAAACCAGTACATGTACGAAAATACCAAGGCAACTAATCAATAATTCGAAAGCATTTTATTTTAGCAATATGTGAATGTTTTAAATGCAGTGCAGACTTTTTTTAACTTGTTATTTTAAAAAGCTTTTATACTTCTTTGGATTTGTTGAAATAAGCTCCTACACCTTCTATAATTGCTGTAGTTCTAAACTGTTTGTTGTCCTATTGAATTTGAAAAGATAACGGCTTACTTTCCTGTGCGGGACATCATGGGCCTCACGGCCCGTCTGCATTTGCATTCCTCGCATTTCCCGACGGCATCAAACGTTTTATGCCTGGCTTTAGCGCCTGGCGTCGTCTGAGTTTTGGCACCAACCCATTGCCCCTTCTCCACGTTTTCGCTGCCCCAGAACTATACCGCCCCACGCTGTCGTCGCTCTGGCTGGCGGCAATCAGCTGTTCGGCTCCGCTTCGTCAGCTGTCGGCTGACTGAGTTGTATCACGGCAGCAAGGCGCATGCGTCGCTGGAAGTCTCGCGGCGTTGTCACATGTTTTTCGAACATGCTTGAGCACGAACGAGCGCGTCTTCCAGTGTGCCAAAAAAAGAGCAAGAGCAAGAAGAAGACGCAGCCGAAGACAAGCCGATTCAAGCAAAGTGTGTTAGTGTGTTTTGCGTGGAAGTGGTCGGGAACAAGGACGGGAATGAAGAAGAGGTTGGGAATGAGGGGCCTTCGTTGGGCGGCACTGTTAACGGTAACGGGCGGCTAGCGGTAACGGTAACGGGAATGACAACCGCAAGAGCACGGCCTCCCGAAAGCGAAGCAGCGCTGTCAAAGATTTAGAACCAGAATCAGAGTCAAGACCCCGCAGTCAACAGAAGTCCGACAAGAGAGAGTTGTGAAAAACGCAGAAAAACTATAAAAAATCGAGTGGAAAAGTCACGATAATTTACAGCACTGCAAATGCGAAATGCTAAATGCCAGCGCTCGAACCAACGGCAATCAATCAATTAGGCCCAACGGGGTGGCGCCCCCTTGCAACTCCCCAGAGTTCCCAGAGCAACAAAAACACGGCCGGAGAGAGCAGAGACATCGACAGTGACAGATAAAGAAACCGAAAGAGGGAAAGAGACCAAGAGAGATAGAGAGAGATACAGATACACGGCAGTGACAGCAGTTAAAAATCAATATCCGTCTAAAGTTTATTTCGGTTTCGGTGCGGACAATTCTAAGAAACAAAGTAAACGGAAATCGCTATAGAGAGTAATTTACTTAACACCTATACAAACAATATTAACTTAATCCATGCTTTAAGCTTATCGCGTCCGCTTTGTGCTACAAATTTAAAACAGTTTTTGCGAAAGCAATCGAGTGTCCATTTTGTGAACTAATTAAAAGATCTAACCAGCATTTCTTGAGTCGCAGCTTTAAGTGAAGAGAACAACTTGCTCCATCCAACGCCATGTGTGTTAATCAGTTTATATCAGCGCCAAACAACAATAAGTAACAACAAGCCAGGGCAGTGCAGCCAGAAAGTAAATCCGAGTCTAGCCCAGAGGTGAGTGCACAAACCGGGGTTGAGTGAAGGGGCTAATGAGCGGGGAATGGGAAGTGAGTGTGGCGTAGGTCAGGGCAAGAGTCGCCTGCCACTTGTGTTCCATTATCAGACGGGGGACAGGGGGACGGGGGACGAGGCGAGTGGGTTAAGCTCTGCATGTTGCATCTGCATCTGCATCCCAGCCACCAGATTTCGGCGCAGCAGGAGCCACCGCTACCGAGCTGCTTGAAACCCAACGCTTGGCTGCCCTCGCGCTCAGCTGAGCGTTACACAAGCACACACAAGCGCAGTCCGCATCAAGAGTCAGCTGTTCGTATACCCGAGTCCCCATCCCCTCCCCGTCCCCGTCCCCGTCCCCAGCCCATCGGTTCGCAAGCTCTCGTCTCTCGCCGGCATGCCGACATTCGCGTCGAGGGGGAAATCGATATCCCAATCTCCATCTGGCAGCTGTTCGCAGCTCGGCTTTTGCAGCTAGCGGTTCTGCCGGTGAAAAATCAGATGGTCGGTGGAGAAGGCCGCCTTGCTTCCAGCCAGCCCTTCCAGCCCGAAAAGGATCACTAAGAGATGTTGATTATAGCCAAAAAGTGAAATTTAATTATCACGGATTAGAAGCTCTCCCTATTTTGTTAACTTGCCCTTCTTTTCTGTAGTATACCCACACGAAAGCTAGAACTCTGATTGCTGCAATTCCCTGTTCCTGTCGTCTCCCTTTCTCTTCTCATCCGAGCCGATCCTCTTTCGCACTTTCCAGACCGGACGGAATATTGCGTATTTTCATTAGGTTATGCCGACTTCCAGGCGTGCGCCGTTCCCGACTGGCAAGACATTCAGTCTGGGTTTCGATACCGTCCTCTGAGTGTTTTGTGCAGTTGCCGCTAGAAGGCGGCGCTAACAGCTGACCCCGTGCAGGGATCCAGAGTAAGTGCGTCCGCTTGGCAGGACAAAAGGGCAGGTATAGAGTTTCGGCATATTAACAAACGCTGAAAGGGCGAAAATTGACGAGTGGCGAAATATGGGGAGCAAGAGCAGCGGGGAGCGGGGAGAGAGAAATGTTGTCGCGATGAAAGAGCGGGAGGGCAGAGAGGACCATAACGATGCCGGTGCCATAAAGTGCCGGTACGGAGCAGAGACGCGACGGCCATAACCGCTAACTGGAAGCGGCAAGCCAGCGAATCCGAGTCCGGCGAATTGCCGAGCCACGAACCCACAAGCCGGCCCCCAAATACGAAGGGCACCCAGGTTTCAATACCCTTGCAGAGCGGCGGGGCATTGCCGTTATTAATTAAAACTTAAATATAGAATGGCATTTGTTATAGCGACACATATATACGATTATCTGGAGAAGTGGTATTTTAAAAGTGGAAATCGGTTTCAAAAGTTTAACAATGGGGTTGTGGCCTGGCCAAAGTTTAACAAGCAGTGCGTTACAAATGATATCCCATTTTTATGCAGTAAATTCTAATATTTAATGTGATTGAAGTTCCAGTGATCTTCTAAGAAACTTGCCATCTTAAGCTGCCGATTAATCATTTAACTAGCTAGATTTGTTTTCGTTTGCCTTTGGCCAAAACACCCTGGTATCAGAAGGGTATTTAAAAAGGGGAGGCAAGGACTTTCGACTTGCCCACAGCTGAGTGGCTAGAATAAGACAGGGCGAGAGTGAGGGAGAAAGAGCGAGCGAGCGAGCCTGCGCCCAGCTGGAAGTTCCAACAGCGGCGGCAACGCAACTGGAGTTGCCAACAGCCGACAGCCGACATCCGAAATCCGAAATCCGAGCGGCGTCGCTGCCTCAGCCGCTGCCTGCCCCACTGGCTGCCACTTTGCTTCGTGGTGCACGATGGCTCGATTTAAGAATCAGTCGTCGTCGAGCTTTCAAACCGTTTGCAGCGAGCGTCAGAGCAGCACCGCCAGGGATTCCAGTCCAGTCCAGTCGAGCCAGAAACTCCAGCCACACAGCCAAGAAGCAGCAGCAACCAGAGTTACCAGCCAACGAGAGAGGGAGAGACAGAGACAGAGACAGAGAGGCCGAGGCAGAGGGGAAAAAGAGCCAAAGTAAATTGGCCAGAAAGAAGTTCTTTCTTTCGCCTAATTTTTTTTTTTCGAGTGTGGTGGTGTGATGGTGTGCGGTGGTGTGCCATTGTGCTATTGATTGTGAAACTTTTTTTTTGCAAGTGCCCCTTTTTTTCTGTGGCTTCTTGCAATGACGGTGGTGATATCATATAGCAAACAGAATAGCACCTTAACAGCACGTGCTAATTGGGTGAGCCATTGATTCCGGCACTCGCCTGTCACTGCCACAGCAGCCGGAGTTGTACCGATCGATATCGGTATCCTGCCCAGCAGCGATCAAATCCTCATCATCTTTTGCATCTGCATCTGCACTCAGCTGCTGGCCTGGCGGGCAGGGAAACCGAGAACAAAGGCCCGAGCCTCCAGCTCCAGCTCCGTATGTGAAATGTCGGCGATTCTACTCGTAGAAACACAAATTCAAAAAAAAAAAAAAAACCGAAGAGACCAGTGAATCATCAGCAGGCAAGCCGCGAATATGGCACGTTGTGCTACTCCGGTGCAATGGAGCGCATCGCTCTTGGCCACGGGCACGCGACCAAACTGCAGTTTCTAGGGGTGATTCTAGGGGAGAGCCTAGAGAAGGATTACGACAGCCGGGCGATACCAACAAAGCGCACCAGAACCAGAACCAGAAGGAGTTGGAGTTGGAGTCGGGTGCTTTTTATAGTTTCCGCCTGCAGCTCGGCCAAAAACAGCAGAAAAGGGAAAGGGGGTGGGGAAAAAGGGGGTGAATGCGGCGGACTGACGACGACGGGTTGGTCTGGTGACGTCGCCTTCAACGTCGAGGTTTCCTTCGCCATCGTTGCCATGGCGCGATGACGACATTTTTCCTGTGGGGCGTGTGCATGTCTCTTGCTCTTCCCACTGCTGTTTTTCCCACTGGCTCGCAGAGTCGCCTTGTTTTTGTGGCCATAGTAGTTGCTATATGTCTATATGTGCAAGGCGGCCAAAGTTCAATGGATTTCATGTACTGCACCTTCTGCCGTCCTCTGCCGTCCTTTTCCTCCTGTCTGTGGCCGTCTTTTTATAGCCGCTCCTCCGCCTGTTTTCTACGCCCGGATGACGGCTGTCTGCCAGCTCCACTGGGAAGCCAGCCGGCTAAAAGTGTGAGGGGGTGGGAGTAGGGGAGGGTGGTGATGCAGTCATGAACTTCAAACGACGACGAGGACTCATAGTCATATTCCGATTGACAGATGCTTGCCATTAATAGTGCTGTTTTTTTAGGGGTTTTGGCCGTCTATATCTCCTCAGCTAACTTGTCGATTTCTGTTCTTCCTTGCAGATCCGACGATTGACGAAAAGGGTCGACAAGCAAACGCGGAAAAAGCCAAAAACGAAAAGAATCCAGACAACAACCAAAGAAAATATATATGAGCAAAAAAAAACGAATTTTCATGTTTAAAACGCAAAACCAAAAATATCGATAAACCATTTTAAGTAAAACCAAAGAGACAAAAACCAAAATTAAAGTAAATTGCTACCAGTAAACGCTAGTCCAAATTTTCACTATATATATATACATATATATATATATATACGTATACTATATATTAAACTAATAATACTTAAAAAAAACACGCCAATTGCCGCAAAACTTAATCCAAGTCGAAAAAGAAAAACTAAAGAAATTTTCATTTAACAACCGCAAAATACCAAACACAGCTTCAAAGTGTGCACAAAACCAAAGAAAAAAGCTAATATCAAAAACCAAAGAAAGACACCAAACCAAAACCAAAACCAAAACCAAGACAAATTATTATTAAACAAAACCGAAAAACAATTAAGCAAACAAAGTCGAAGCAAAAAAAAAAACCAAAGGCAAAGAAAACTGCGCCGAAGTCACGGCCAGCAAACAAAAAGTACAATAAGCAAACACAAAAGACAAACAGCAGCAGCTACGCGGCGGTCGTCGTTGTGAAGTGAAGCGTCACCACTGGCCACGCCCACTCCCCGCTCAGCCGCCCTCCCCGTTTTAGCAGTCTTTTTCCTTTTGGCAGCGCATCATTTCAAAGAAATCTTGCGTGTGCCGAATAAAAAAAACTAAACAGTCAGTGCCGGTGAAAGACTTTCAGGAGTAGTGTCTCTCTTTTTTTTCGAGTGTACGAAAGAGTTTTTTTGTTTTGTGGCCGAAACCGAAGGCAACGGCAACAGCAACAGCAAAAGCAACAACAACGGCTACACCAACTGGGATGGGAGATCAGCCAAAGGCAGCGACAAGTGCAACCGGGAAGCAGTAGGCTCCGCCACTGAAGGCGTCGCCGTGATGGCCGCCACCCAGGACCTGCTGCCCAACGGGGCAGGCAACGGCAACGGCAATGGCAACGGAGGCAATGGTAACGGTAATCCGCCACCGCCGCTTCAGGATCAGGAGCGCGGCCAGGCGGAACAGGCGGAGGCCGGGGACGCCGGCGACGACGCCGCCACCGATGCCGGGGCTAGTTCGCTGCCCCCCTCGGAGATCGGCGGTCGGGCGCCACTGGACACGGCCTGCTCGGACGCGGACGGCGGTGCCGCCTCCAGCCTGGCCGGCGGCATTGTCGGTCCGCCCAGTCCGCTCACCGGCTGCTATCTGCTTATCGTCCTGGGCGAGCCGCACTCTGAGGAGCACAAGGACAACATCTTGCAGCATCTGCTCAAGGGTGAGTTCACTTTTAAATCTAATTACTTTTAACGGCTAAGTTCGTCCCGTCACTAGATAAAATAATATAATTTTCTGAATGATGAGTTATTAAAAATTAAGAAAAAAGAATGCTATATATATCCTTGCAGTTATCAAATCTGTCGAACAAAATACATAAGGTCTAAGCCACATCAAAGCTATGTCGATTTTTCTATAAGGTTTATAGTTATATGATATGGTCGTCAGATTTCCATGAAATTTAATTCAAGACTCTGAATTCCAAAAATCATGATTGTCTGATTAAAAACAACGATGCTATCATTTTATTTCCGTTAATAGATCGATTTTTCGATCTTTCTTATGGCAGCTAGATGATATAGTTGTTCGATTTTAATGGTATTCCCGATTCAAAGGTTATTAAAAATATTCAGAGGCTATTATAATTTCAGTCAGAAGTTTGTCGAATTGGAAAGCGCATTTGAATGCAGGCGTAGAAAGTCTGGGTATGCAAATGAGGTGTGGGGTCCGTGATTGAATTCGAATTCGAATCGGAATGCCTGAGCTGCGGTCGCGGTCAAGCCTGGCCGGTTACCGTCGCGTGTCCCCTTTGGGCCAACTGCTGGAGGCGGTCCAAAACGGACCGATACCGATACCGAGACTGCAGTCCAGAGTACAGCACGATCCATGCCATTCCATTCCAATCAAGAGCATTCCACCCACTCGGCTCGGCTCAACTTCTGCAGACTGCAGCTTCTTCACACTTTGCTGGCTGCCGTCGCCCCGTCTGCTGCCGCTATTTACTCGTATCAGCCAGATTCAATGAAGGTGGCGATGGTCGATGGTCGATGGTCGAGGGAATAGCCCGCTGCTTTCATGTTCATAATTCACTTTTCTTCTGCAATGCTCCGCCGTGTCTGACACAGTTTCGCCGGTTCTTAATGATAGTTAACTCAACGTGGGGCAATACAAGCGGCAACTTCTATTTTGCCATCGCCAAATGTTGTGAGATGCACAGTTTTCGCTGCTTTCCGCTTATTAGCATTGAAAATTATTAAGTTCGCAAGCACTCAACCGCGTTTGTAGTGCCTACAAATCGTACTGCTAAGTTCAAACAACAATTAGCTCAGGCTTATAACTGAGTGTAGTTAATGATGTTGGTTTTTTGCCTTAATTTAACTTGATGAGCTTGTGAAGGAATCGTGATATCCTCTCAACTCAGTAACAGTAAGTGGGGTAAAAATTCTTGGGTTTAATAGAAAGCGTTGCATCTTTGCTAATGGGTGTGCTGATTGCTTGCGAGACACTTCAATTACCTGGCAGCCTTTTAATTCCATTTCCATGCCCATGCCCATGCCCATGGACAGAGCCGCTCCGGGAAGCCGTGTCCATGTCCGTGTCCGTGTCCTCGTTGCCGTGTCCTGTCCGCAAACTCAATAGGGAATGTCGCTGGCAAATCGATTTAAGCAAATTGCGCATGAAGGTATGCAGCGGGTTTCGTTCGATACGAGGATGCAGCTCGTCCACTTTGTGAATTTAATTAAAATCGAATGCACACACCCACACACCCGCACAGCCACACAGCAACTGGGAGGCAGGACAAACAGCAGCGGATTGTTTACTTTTAATTGTATTAATTATTTTCATGTTGATTGCATTACAAACAGCAACATCAAAGCAACAACACAGTGGCTGCTGTATTGAAAAGAGCAAATGGGTCAGAGTTCAAAGTTCGGCGCTGCGGGTGGAGGAGATACATATGTATATGTGGATGTACTGTACAAATACAGATGCACAGATACAGTGCGATGGAGATTATTAGCAAATATTTGATTTATGCAGGCGACAAACCGGAATGGGAATGGGCGAGTGGGACCTGCGAGAGGGCAAACTACCAGGCAACTACCCAACTACCAACTTGGGAATAGGCAACTCGGAACTCGGGGTACTCGTGCTGCTCTAGGGGCGTGCCATGATGGCCGGACTCCAAACGCTTCCCACTCCTCGGGAGGAACGCTTCCTTCCGGAAATTGCGAAAAACTCGCCCGTGCGGACCGAAAATTAGCCGCCAGCTGGAGGCAATGGGTGGTGCGGAGGTGGCTAGTGTGGATTACCTGGAGGCTTAGTTGCAACACACAAAAAACGAAGCACAGAACACAAGAGATACAAGCAAAATGCAAAAAAAAAAAAAACTTTGCAATATTTGTTCAGTTCCGTTGCTCTACACTAGACAAACAGTGGCCAGTGGCGGCGGTTGCAAAGGGGGTTGCACATTTGACCCGAGGGGCGTTTCGAACACGACGGCCTTCTTTTTAATTGATTTTAAAAACACTGCGGCCGTGGCTATCGAGTCCCGCGACTAATGGAGCAGGAAAACACAAATAAGTGGGCCAACAAGGCAGGGGAATCATGTTTGACTAGCAAAAGGGAACAAAATTGAAACGATTTTACTTGAAATCAAATGATTTTCCTGGTTTAATGGTCGACCGTGTCACTGGCGTCGTCAAGTGGTTGGTGGTCACCACTTGAGCACTTCACTCCAATTGGCTTCTCGTTCACCTGGCACCCAGTTCCGTGTCTCTTTATTACGACAATTACGTGGCTCGCAGTGGATTGCAGTCACGCTTCCCAGTCTCCTGCGCTCCAGCGCTCCTCGCTCTGCCCCTTTCACAATTTTGGTCGTTTTTTAATTAATTTAAAAATAAATCAATAACAAAAAAAAAAAACAACGACATTCAAGGTCGGCCATTGGCAAAGGCCGGGGGAATCACATAACATTATTATGACAACTGTTGTTGAAAAAAAGGGCAAAGGGCAAAGAGCAAGTGGCGATAGACGAGGGGCGGAGCTCGAAAATGTCTGCCGGCCCCCAAATCGATCAAATAAAAGAGGCAGACTGGGCAGAGACGGCAAGAGCGTCCCGAAGCGACAAAAAGACGCGTGACGAGCTTCGATTTTGTAGATATTTTTAGACGGCCCAAAAGGGAAACACGGCTCCCTGAGGAGGAAATTTTTTGATTGCGTGACAATGGTGCCGGAATATGACAGCTGGACGGACGGCTGGGCGCCAGTGGGTGCCGCTGCCAGCGACAAGAGTCTTTGCCACAGAGCCAGAAACATGCTACGTGACCCTCCTCCGGCAACCCCTCGAATAGGAATAGCTGGACACGTTCGTTCGCCTGGCCAACAAAGTCGCGCTGACAATGCAATAACTGCTGCTGCTGCTAAACAAACTGCTGACAGACCAGAGACCGGCTGGTGCGGAGCCAACTAAACCACTCGATCCCGAAAGTGTGCTGCGCCAAAAGATTTGGCTTGGCTACATGTGTGTGCCGTTCTCTGTTCTCGGTTTTCTGGGATCCTCTCGAGTGCACGGATGACCGGTGAAAAGCCTTTGCACAGTTTTCCCTATAAGCCACTCTAATGTGTGACACTCTCAAATGAGTGCCAAAGAAGCAAAAAAAAAGGGTTAAATATTGGTAGATCCTGTTTAGTATGTGCACGTACGTGCCAGCTCCGCTCAAAATGTTGGGCCCTTAAATGTATGCTATGAAAAAGATGGCTGCCTGCCTGCAGACAACACGGCGTATTAGTTATTTTTTACTGAAAAGTATGCTATGAAAAAGATGGTTGCCTGCAGACAATGCGGCGTATACGTTATGTTGTATTGAAAACTGTGATTTGTTCACAGCGAGGGATGAATCGAGATGGCTAATTTCTTTGTTGAATAGCTCATTGCCTCCCTGAGGTTTTTCCTCGTTTAAGCAGAGAACAACGCGACTTATACCCTATAATCGATTTTGCATTGAAGAGCCCTGCGGAAACGTGGTGTTGAGGGGTAGAGGGGGGTATCGTCTGTCTCTAAACCGCACCACTCTTGCGTCATCAATCAGCACACAGACAGATACACACACAAGCATACACACACACACACACACACAAGCGTACACACACGCAAGGGCTGGGGACATTAAAAATGCTTTTATTGCAAATTAATTGCTTTGAAGTGCATTGGACGGAGGCCGCTCGCACCGCACACCGCACACCTCGCCTCACATTCGCATGGGCAGAGATCATGAGACGCGCCCGTGGCCAGTGGCGGACCACGCCCAACACGCTCGCCACCGCACCCCCCCCTCCCCCCTCCCCTTCTCACTGGACCTCCGATGCCCTCTGCTGTTCGGCTTTGGGCCGGGCTCATGTTACGTTCGTTCCACTTTAATTAGTCTTCGCCAGGTCGTTTATGTTTTAGTTTCAGTTTCGGGCTTTGTAATGAGCCTGCCATTAAATTTGCAATTTAATTTGCAATCATTTTAATGACCACAAATGCAGATAAAGACACAACCCCCCAAACAGGAAAGATGTCCGAAAACTTTGCCATCAAACTCTAATTGCACTGACCTTTGGTCTGGAGGTAAAATGTGTAAAAGGATTTTCCGGGACGTGCGCTAATTAGTTGCTAACTGTTTGTTTCTGGCCCAAACCCCAGCCGCAGTCCACTTTACCACAAATTGAAATGTTCAATGGGAAATTCATGAGCTGGAAAGGTTGGATCAAATGAAAGGGGTTGCAATAGTGTCGCCCATGTATGCCGATTGCCTGCACTCCCCTTCTCACCGCCACTATCCACTACTTATCAATGGCGCATCTGATCCCAAAGCACTTTTTGGCTCAAAGTTTTGGCCAGCAAGCAAGAAAATAAAACCCATTTCCTTTGCGGCAATTTCGTGAATTTTCTCAACTGCCCTGGCAATGCCATAAAGGATATAGTGTTCCCCCACCTTCCTCCACATCCCTTTCCCCACCGAATATACGAATATGTATTGTGTGTGTGTGTTTGTGCGCTGAAAACTTAAGTAAATTCATTCTCGGGTGGGTATGAAGTTTCTTGCCGGAAGGCGAGCTTCGAAATGGGAGGTAAAAACCAACAGAAACCATAGTTCGACTCAGTTTTACCCTCTTAAATCTTTGGAAACCAATTAGACATAATACCATAGACCATAGTTTTTTGGGTGATTTGAA